TATTAGATTTTAAAAGATATCTATTGAGTAGTTCTCTAGATCTAGATCCCTGTCAATCGCGATTTTTGGTGAGATTTTGACTGGCCCACATACTGGGGTGGCCCGCTTACTGGTGAAACACGTTATTCATGATAATTAAGAATCGCTGGGAACAGATCCCGGGAGATATTGTGGGGAAGACATGTGGGGCCATACAAAGAAACTGCATTTTCGAGCCAATTAGTACATACCATGCCTTGATGTGAGTCTACTCCGCTTGTCTTGGCCCAAGACGCTGCCATCCGTTTATGTGCTCAACATTAGTGGTAATGACACAAGAGATCTCTGGCAGGGGTTCTCGGCACCCAAAAGAACCAGACGTACAGCTGAATACTCTCTACTCTTGGTCTTTGTGCCCACACGCCAGATTCTGTAATATAAATATCTCGGGGCAATTAAACAAGCGTGCTGGTGAACGAAGCTGCGTTGCAAACAACCCTCATTATTCTGTAATATTCCAATTGCCTCAAATAGGGATACGATGCTAACTCGCGACGCATTTAGCAACTGCTATACCGTAAGCCATATTAGATAAGAGGCTTCCCACTGTTGCCTGCTTGGTTCATGTCAACGACAAGTTTCCCGCCCATCCCAGCACGGTGTTGATTGGCAAGCTCATTCAAATCCTCCAAAGCATATAGTGTCGTGACTGCCTTGATTTTATGTTTGGCAGCGAAATTAAGCATTTGTCTCAGCTGATGGTTGCGTCCCACCAAGCTTCCAATGACCTTGATATCTCGAAAAACTAAATCTTTGGCGCTGAATATTAGCTCATCGGGAAAGCTGACCACTACAATAGTACCGTGGTTTCTCAGTAGCTGCATACCATAATCAAAGGCAGCCTGAGACTCTGGTAGAAATATCACAGCTTCGACTCCACCACCTATGACATCTTGTACCACGTCTTTTGGGTTATGTACAAGAGAGTCTACTAGCACTGTGCTCCCCGGTGTTGAAGGGTCCATCCGATCAATTACATTTTTCAACAGCTTCAGAGGCTTCTCGCCTCTATCTACGGCGACTGTTCGCTTTCCAAGGTGAGCCGAAAACTGAACGCCCAGATGGCCAAGTCCACCACCTGCACCAATTATCGCAATGGTGGTGGCCTCTTTGACGCGGTCAAGCGCAGACCATATGGTCAGTCCGGCGCACATAAGAGGTGCTGCCTCTAAAGCTGTCATACCTTCCGGAATAGGTGCAACTTGCCGGCTGTCAACCAAAGCGTATTCGCAGAATCCGCCGTCCATCGTAAGCCCAAGATTTTTCGCCGTAGGGCAATATGGCGAGTAACCCACAGGATCGTCATGATCCAGGGTACATTCATTGCAGGCTCCGCAAGGGTGGTACGCTCGGCCAGGAACTCCGACTTCGTCGCCGATTGCAATGTGGAGATCCTTCGAAACATCTGGACCTGAGGCTACGACACGACCTGCGAATTCGTGGCATCCTATCCGTGGCAGATCTTGAGACATCTTGCCTTCAACCAATACTGCATCTGTGTGACAGTAGGAAGCCGCTAAGACTTTAACGAGTAGGTCACGGCCGGTTGGTTCTGTCGGGGTTGGGATTTCTCTGAATCGATATGGCTTTTTGAATTCCTCAATGACCGCCGCTCGCATGTTAGAAGGGATCGTGTGCGGCGACATCATGCTGCTTGATCAATGGCTATCGAGCAATGGCACTGCAGTGCATGTTCGCATCGTTCTGATATGACCAAATCCGTTAGCTTGCAGATGGTCGAACTCCCCACTGCCCCACAAGGCTCGTTGACGCATCGGGTCTACCCCATTTACCCCGACGGGCCATCTCTTTCCATCACAGTAGCACCTACGCATGGATTTCTCTCGATTCTTAAGAATCGCAACATGCCTCAATTGGACTGTTCGATTTCGACGAGGCTCTGCGATTTCGACCGTCGTGTCCAGCTAACGGGACTCAATGCGCACGGGAACAGTCCATGTCGCACTTGTGGCACTCTGTTGTACATGGTGTGGGAACTGAGACGGATCCTCATCGACAAGAACTCGTTCTGGCTAAAGCAGGTCTCGCTCGGATCTTGTGGCTGTGTATAGAGTAGAGCAAAGCGGTGTTCGGTATGCTTCTCGTCGCTCTGAGTGAGAAGCTCACTCCTCGCCTCAATAGTGTCGCTAAACCTTGACGCCAACTGTATGTGCAGACTCAAGGCAGGCTGATATTTTGATGCCATCATTCGGTGACTAGACCTCTGATTTTCTTCGCAAAAACCATGTCTCAATTCCGGTCCCATCCCCGCGTTTGTCAGCCCCGACCCCGCGTTTGTTCGCTCGTATGGCTCCGACCGAGACTCAACCAAGAGCTGCTCTTTCGCAGCACCCACATACCATTTGCCCCTGTTCAAATACCCCACAAGCTCGCAGCCTAGCGTAGTAGAAGTGGCCGTATCTAAAAAGCACCATGCTGCAGCGACTGTTGAAACAAAAGTCGCATCATGCTCGGAAAATATCACACGGCCATGACTTCTCTAATGATCCTAGTCGTCACTCTAGCCGGTTTGGCCTTTGCCGTCGCCATCCGAAAATACGTCAGGAGTAGGAAGTACAAGCTACCACCTCGTGTCCCTGGCCTACCAATTGTTGGAAACACATTTCAATTCCGTTTGGATCCCGTGAAGCAGGGCCCATGGGCCGCTAAAATTGCCATAGAATACGGCGAGATGTATTCCCCCCTTGGTATATCACTCCTGAAACATATTCTAAGACGGCACACGTAGGTTCACCATTCGGGTTGGGGGATGTGACATGGTTTTCCTCAATTCTTCTCGCGTGGTTAGAGAGCTGATGGACAAGCGATCATCCAAGTATTCATCTCGGGCGGAAATGCCCATGGTATCCGACACAATGTCAGGTGGCAACTGCATTGTTTTAATGCCTTACAACGAACGATGGAGAAGCATTCGAAAGGTCATGCACAGTGTCTTGAACAGCCGAAACATGGCCCAGTTTAGCACATACCAGGAAATCGAAAGTCGCCAACTCCTCTGGGATTATCTATATAATCCAGGGGCATGGTTCACTCATAACCAACGCTTCGCAAATTCTGTAATCGTAAGTGTTGTTTTTGGAAGAAGAATTCCTCTGGGTGATCCCAATCTTGGACCATTGCTACGCCAAGCCGAAGCGATGGTGGAACATTTGCAGCCAGGAGCCACCCTAGTAGATGGGTTTCCGATTCTTGCAAAGCTTCCCAAATCGTTGCAATGGTGGCGCAAGAGGGGCGAGGCCCTCTACAAAGAATCGCTTCGGTATGTGGATGGAAAGATCATGGGCCGGTGGAAAGCATCGCACACGATTCTAACCTGTTATCAGGGTATATGGATATGAGTTGGACAAAATCCAAGAGAAGATTAATGCAGGAAAAGCGCCCGAGTGTTTTGCGCGAGAATTCTTGCAAAGTCCTGATGCTGCCAAGATGGAGGAGAGCCAGCGAATATTCACCTTAGGCTCCCTTCTCGAGGCTGGGAGTGATACCTCTCGCATGACGCTTAGCCAAACCGTCGCCGCCATGGCTATTTTCCCTGAATGGGTCTCGATTGCTCGTGGGCATCTTGATAAGGTTTGCGGCGACGCAGGCCGACTTCCAAGATGGGAAGACAAGCCTCAACTTCGGTACATCTCTGCTGCTGTCAAAGAAAGTTTCCGCTGGAGGCCATTCGCTCCAATTGGAGTTCCATATCAGATTAGTGTAGATGATGAGTTTGAAGGATACCATTTTCCTGCTGGTACCCAAATTACTTGGAACAGCCTTTACATCTCACAAAATGAAGACGAGTACAAGAACGCAAAGGTATTCGATCCGGCTAGGTTTTTGAACGATGATTTGGACAGCGTGACGAAGGGCCACTGGGCATTCGGGCCAGGTTAGTATGCCGTCAACACAATTTCATATCAAATGACTGTCCCTGACAAGCATCCTCGTAGGTCGGCGAGCGTGTCCTGGCTACAACGTAGCCGAGAGAAATGTTTGGATGGCAATTTCACGCTTGATATATTGTTTCGACTTCACAACTGTCCCGGTAGGTCCTTCGGATAGCATCGGCACAAGCGCAGGCACTAACGAAATTATAGGGTCACGAAATCGATCCTGTAAATGCAAACTGGAAAGATTACAGAGTCGCGCCTTTCAAAGTGTCTATCACCCCTAGAAGTGCGGCTCACAAGGAGCTTATACTCGAAACATGTGCCGATATCGCCGGTGAGTGCTGAAGAATGGCTTGGTACTGGAGCAGATGCAAGGATCGCTTGGTTGAGAGGGGCTTCAATTACAGTGTGTGCATGCGTCTATGCACCACTAAAGCTCTCATCCCCAAAGTGACACTATCCTACTCGAGAAGTTCTTTCGCGTAAGGATATGAGGGTACCTTGTATCTTACAAGATCTTCGCAAAATAAAGACACGTTCTCTTTAATCCAGTCTATGGCTAGTCGCTGGCACTTGAGTATTGGGTTACGTATGGACTTCGCATCGCCCAAGGCAAAGATATGGAGCCGGTAATTCAAGGACATAAAGATGATCGGTTGCTGTTGCAAAATCGACTGTCCCAACAACCTCGTATAGCGTAAGATGAGGGTTTCAGCAATTAGTGGTATCAAAGTTGTAGTCTCTCTGCTTAAGACTCCGTACCAAGGACGCGAATTTGGATGTCGCTCTTCTCAAATCGGATTGCCATGGCTATAATTTGAGTATTCATTTGTGTCCAACAAATCGTAAATGTTCTTATGTGGAGAATCTGAAGATGCGACTGCTGAAGGGAGCGTGTGGAGGCGTGATGCGACACACCCTCACCATCTTTAGAATATGGCAGTTAACGCCCACTTTGGATTAGAACACATCTCTTATATCCACAAAGTCCCCGAATGCCTATATAGCAATAGCTCCTTCGGTAAATTCGTCGAAAATTGTAATTTCCTCAAACCTGCTGGCTAGAGCCGCTGTTGCTGCAGCCTCACGATCATGCATCGCAAGATTTAAATCCGCCGTCCATAGACTAGTGTGTTTTGTAGAAGACTGTCTAAACTTCATTTCCTCCAGTAGAAACTTGAAAACAAGGGCTGCGTTATCTTTGGAGATGGCGCCGTGATCCACGGCGATGGCGAGCAGTGACCGAACAGCACCTTCGGCGAATTCAAAGCGGTCGTAGAGCCTGGCATAGCAGTTTATGCAGAGCACGTAGAAGAATTGCCAGTCTGAATAAGCAGTATCTGTGAGGAGGGCATTCGCCGTGTACAAGACCGCAGGATGCCATATACAACCGCGTGAGGTGATGTCATGTTGGGAGACGCATTCGATGATAAGTCCCTTAAGTTCTGAATTCATTTAGAACACAGTCGGAAGATTGTGGGATCACTTACGCTTTGTAGAGGCTGCGCAGATGGTCTCTGGGGTGGCGAAGCTTGGATGTCGCGATTGGAACCCGTGGCTTCTCTTACTGTCGACATATGGGCGGAATAGATCCATAAGGAACATATAGAAATAGAGGCTAACACAACTTTATAAGCCGTCCTATTTAATGAATTTGAATTAAACACATGAACTTAGTGTAGTTGTAACACTGCAAGTGGACTCTTCCCTCTTCTTTGTATCATCTCCGGTAGGCTATCAATCAGTTCTAGATATTTCGTATATTTCGAGAAAATGAATGCCAACGGAGGAAGTCGAGTCATATTTTGGTTGCGAAGAACAACGTGGACTTCCGAGTGGATCTCGTACAGTTTACATGTGTAGATATACGCCTCGTCGACAATAAAGTTCATTTTCTGTGACTGTACGAATGCACGAAGTGTGTCGTCGAAGTGTACTGGTTCCGATTTCTCTGGTATTGATAGAGCTGGCGGATACTCCAAGGGTGGTACAATATGAACATTGAGACAAAGATTATGCAGATTGGTAAGTCACTATACCAATGCCTAAAACTGCAAAAGCATCTTACATATAAAAATTGAATGACCCCCAAGCTGTTTGTGCCCAGGCACGTTGGGCCCCTTCTGTGAGAGAGCTTATTTGAGCATCAGTAAGTGGATCTCTAACACCAAACAGTTTCATCCTTTTACACATTTCAGTGGCCTCAAGCACATATTTTACGGCATTTGGGCAACCTTGACCATGACATGATATTGATGTATAAAGCAACATGAGGCCGGCGGTGTTAGCCATGGAGTCATCTAGTTTGGCGCGCCAAAGCATTTCGGCCTCGTTTTCGAATTCAAAACTCTTCGCTGTGGCAATTGGTTCTTCCGCAGAGTATTGTTGCGACGCAAACGCGAGCAGTGAGCTCACGAGGAACGGCGAACAGTGGTCCCCCCCGCAAGTGGATAAGATCGTTTAAAAATGATGTGACGTCGAAAAAGCGAAGTATCGTATGGTCCGTCATGAGGTAAGCTGAGATTGCGCCAGCGGCATAACGATCTGTTACAGAGACGCTTGTCCAAAAACTGATGTCCAGACAATGCAGAAGTGTGTCAAAGTATGTGGGAATGGAGGCTTCGGGCATCGCATTCTCCCCCATAGGTTGCAAATCATTTGCAAGTCGGATGTCGAGATGGCCCTGCCTAGGTAATGGAGGGACACCTGACACATCACTGCAATCTACGATTTTGGCCTTAGATTGTGACTTTGATCCACAAGGTATATCGATTGGGGGAATCTTCAAAGCCTCGAGGAGCGTGTTACTGGATAGAATGTCATCATGTGACAACTCCACCACAGGGTACCCGGCTGGGTGCTGAATCATGAGCTGGAGTTCGGTCTGGCTTTGTATTTGCGGTAGAGCAGACAGGGCGGTCGTTATCTCAGAGATTCTTGGCAATATCTGACCGCTTTCGTATCTGCGAAGGACTGAGATCGGATCCGTTGAGCTTCGGAGTTCGTGTAAAACTGCATGGGCTGTTTCCTCCGGCACAGTAAGTAGGCACTCAATTAGGTCTTTGAGACCCTTGTGCTCCCTAGTTCGAGCTTCACGTCGCGTTTCTGACTCCTCTTGTGTAAGGTATTTACATCTAGTCTGTCGGGCCTTGCATGCTGCGCATATTGGCCGGGCGCCATTGCACTAGATATATTACGCATCAGAAATACACTTCTCGGGTTCCTATTCGTGGGACTTCCTACCTTGAGCTTTTTCTGGTGACAGGGTGTGCAAGCTACCGCTGTGCGTCGCGCCTTCCTAACCTTCTCAGTCGGTAACGGATCCAAAGGTCCTATACGGGGTAGGAGTGGTTTCCTATGCGATGTCATCGCGGAACTGTAGGTGCCAGATTTTATGAATCGATAAGGAGCGCATTAGGCCGGGTAATACTTAGGTAAATAGTTAACTAACATACTATGATGTTAGTAAGCTACGCAGCTTACTAAGCTCACCGCCCCACAACATGGAAAGAAAACCATAGTTAGGGCAGTATGTTAGAGATGAAAGTTGATCTAATATACTTCAGAATTCAAAATGCGCTATCAGATAGCCCAATGAATTCGCCCCTCATATCCCTGCCCATGATTGTTATTGATCGATGTGCCTAACCATTCTAACAGGAAACTTTGATTTTGTTACGACTCGCTGGGCTGATAAAATGGGCGGACGAAGCGCGAATTTGGATCAAGGGCCGGAGAAAGCAGGCTCCTCATATACGCGCCAAGAACCCTGCGGGGTTATTGCGGCTGCTGTACCTTGGAAGACTCCTCTGTAAGTTGATGCGCAGTTTTATTTCAAGACTGTAAGAGATATTGATTATTGTGGGTGCTCACTTGCTGGAAGATTGCTCTTTGCATAGTAGCCGGAAACAAACTGATCATGAAGCCGCCTGGGCTGGCGCCACTGTCAGCTTTGCATCTAGCTAAGTTGATTTCCGAAGCTGGATTTCCATCCGGCATGATCAACATCATACCAGGTCCAAGTCCACGGCAGATCCCGCTTTGGCCCATCACATGAAAATTCGCAAGATCGCTTTCACCGGCTCTACCCTCACTGGTCATGCCATCTTGAAAGCATTGGCAGAGAGTAGCCTTAAAAAAGTCTCTCTCTCGCTCGGCGGAAAGAGCCCAACAATCATATTCGGCGATGCCAACCTCGAAGAGACAGCGACATGGGCTGCAATTGGAATCACTGCGGGCGAAGGAGACATTTGCACCGCCGGCTCGCAAATTCACGTCCAGGATACCGTCTACGGGAGGTCTCTGGAGGCTTTCTCCAATCGATACAAAAGCCTTGCGCCCAGTGATACCATGGCTCTGGGAACCAACAAAGGATCTTTCATTAGCGACCAGTAGCGGGAAAAGGCACCATCGTATATCGAAAACGCGAAGGCGAACGGCACGGCGTTGTTGCACGGCAGGAAGCAAATTGGAAATAGCAATGCCATCGAGACCGCAGCCTTCTTTGACGTGCCCGAAGATTCGGCTATTATGAAAGAAGAAATTTTCGGACCAGTCGCGGTAATTCCGTTCTTTTTTTGAGAGGGCGGAGAGACGCGTACATCGATCATGCGCTGACCCGTATACCTTTTACCTACAGTCTATCGCCAAATTCCGTGAAGAAGAAGAAGAAGAAAAAGAAGAAGAAGAAGAAGAAGAAAGCATTCAAAAAGCCAACAATACCGAGTACGGCTCATCCGCCGCCATTTCCATACAGGGTCTTGTTCGTGCGCATCGATTTGTGGACCGCTTAGACAGTGGCCAGGTTACTATCAATGCATGGAGCTTGTTGATTGCTAATTTGCCGTTTGGAGGTATGCTTATCTTGTCGCTTAGAAACAGTGATTTTTCTCTTCAAGTTTCAATACCCAGGGGCTGTGCTGACGTCGATAAAAATAGGAACCAAACAGAGTGGTTTTGGTAGAGATGACGGGTTGTAGGTTTTGGAAGATTGAATACGGTAAAGGTAGCTGAGATTGTGGTGCCACGTTTGTAACATGGAGTAATACGGATTATATGCAGTTGCCACAATGAAGCCTAAAGATAAAGGTGATTGGATTTATCATGATAGTGATATTTGTACTCAGAATGCTGTGGTCTATCTTCCGTGACCGCTTGATGCAAATACATGTTGCAGCAGACCATGCATCGTGATAGCAGGGTGTTACTTGAGCCTCGACATCCATCTAAGATAGTGTCATAGCGGCTTTCAATTAAACCAGTGTAAATGCCGTGAAGATGGGGCGTGAAATCATGACAATATCAGTAGCCATTCCAGACGAAAGGCAGTCAGAGTAAGGATATTTGATTGCTAGAAGAAAGACCGTAGATTGAAGATTGGAACAACAGTACATGTCGCTGCTCGCATTCACGACTACTCAAATGATCACAATTTTCCCTTAGGTCGCGCTGCACACTTGAAACATACTCCGTAATCATCCGAAGAGAAGAGAACTTTGCTGCCGCGATGAATAAAGAAGCTATCTCCAAGGCCTAATTTCCTTTCTGTCCCGGTCTCGTCTTTCAAAGTAACAGTGCCTTGACAGTGTCAGATTCTGCAGTATTGACCACGAATTTTTGGAAAAGAAGCCTCTAAAATAATGATCACAAACCTTCGTAAACAACGCCGCTCTCGTCATAACCATGAATTCCAGGGCCAATTGGCGGGCCCTTCTCAATACGGAACCAAATCCCAGCTAATGGGTCTTGAGCGGTCTCCCCCTTTGAATTAAAAATATCATCTGAAAAACATAACAATCAGTCTCCATTCTCCGCAATTTCTCAAAAAAAGACTGAACCGACCAAAGAACACGTATTTATCAACTTGATCAATGATCTTGTACCTCTCAGCCGCAGACTTGAACTCGACTGGCATATTCGCAACTATTTGTACGTGCTGACCGAAAAAAAGAAAGGCGATTGGCGATCTCGTTTAGATGTAAATCTAGAGCGGTGTACGTAGATGGCAAAAAGATATCGTTCCTTTAAGCCGCACAGGGTGACCTTCCGTCCCATGATTAAGACAGACCGACTAGACCAAACGCGGTACCTGCTGGCTAAATCTGCCCAAAGAGGCAAGGCGAGAACTTGTGTGGCCAATTCGCCGACTTTTGCGGGGTTGCTGGCCAATCAGTATGCGACTTAGATAACAATGGCACGCACACGCTTTATCTGTAAGTCCAGGATTCCATCGAAAGGCTATCTGGGTTTCCACCAACGCAGCATGCTGGATTTGGACCCTTTCATACTACTGGCGATATGTTGAGGAACAACATAACACGACAACATCTTACCAATCTCAACTGCTTACGATAGCCTACTTTATCTCAGAAGCTACCAACATTCACGAACTGATAAGGCCGATTGTAAGGGAAATGCTGTTTCTAAGATAGTCAGGCATTTCGTATCAGCGTTGCGGATCATGTAGATAAGACGTTGGTTCTGGAAGGCAACATCGGCTGCAACGGTGTTGTCACGTAATAGTATTATTATCGATTCCTATCGATTCCTCCAAAGGAACTTCGTACAATGATCGAGCGCTCGCGACACAGAGACCATGTATTGTTACTTCATGTTCTTCAAGCGATGGTTTCATAGTACAATCAATCGCACCATCGCTTTGTAGTTCATACTGAGGACTAAAAGTGCAATCACAAACTTTTCCATTGCGAGGCCTCGATGAGGGTGGATAGTATGAACACGTAGTGTGCACGAGCAATTCCAATTGTGAAAGCGATTGTGGGCTAAGCTGGAGTGTATGTCAATGCAATTCCTCCTCTTCTTTCCGTTGTAACTAGTGCAGTAAACATGATGACCAATTACCCACGACCAAACCAACGACTATTACCCTCCAGACTATCCAGATGGTTTTACCAACCCCGATTTAGTTCCAACCTAGAGCTTAGCATCCACACCCCCATTCTCCTGTTCAAGCATCAACTTCGTAATTGCCGCCGCCCTCGCACCTTGCTCGATAGCACCATCAATGAAGCCTCTCCATCCCTGCGCCCAGTCCGCGCTCGCCATGAACACACGGCCATGTGGCTCCTGCAGCGCCTGTAAGTTTTTCGTCGCCCAGCCAGGGGCGGCGGCGAACCATGCGCCCTTGGCATATGGATCTTTCGACCACGTGTGCGACACGTATCCCCGCATTTTACCGCTAGGCTGGAGCTTTTTGAATTCAGAAATGATCTCATCGCTGTTGGTGGGGTCTTGGAGTTTGCCACATTGGCCAAACATCATGGCGTAGGTGCCTGCTCGGTTTGCTGTATTTGTGCCTTTAGTCTCGTTAGTTGTGTAGTAGCGAGTTTGGGGAGCGTGGGGAAAATATACGTACCGTCATGATCCTTGATTCCGAATAGGAAACCACTGTCTTTGGAATCGGAAGTATTTGCAAACCAATTTCCTTGTGCCTCATCCAACGAGACTATGTACTTCTCACCAGAGTTGATATGGCCGCCTTGAACTGCATTTTGCTTCGCGTGCGCTAGTGGTGGCTCAAACTTGATGTCACCCAAGCAGTTGAGTGGGACGGTGCAAATGACCCGTTTCGCATTGTAAGCAGATCCATCCGCACAAGAAACGACGACTTTTTCCAAGTCTTTGGTCTGCTTGATATAGTTGACCACCTTGTTGAAAACTCTGTCGCCTTGATACTCTGCTAATATATGGCGGCACATGTTTGTCGTGCCACCGCCACCGAGTTTGAAGCCACCAACTGCATCGTACATGGTTGGGAGGCTATACCCACCAACAGCATACCATCGCAATGCATCTGTCCACGCTAGGTCTTGAGCAGTACAACTGCCGAAGGAGTTTGGATGGGGGACAAAAAGATCCTTATCGGATTGCGGCAAGTCTAGCTGGTTGATTCGGTCTTGACAGCTTAGGTGGTCATATTTCTGCCATGGCTGAGGTCGTAAAGGTTCGTGTGGGTAAGGCATCAGCTGACGTGGAGTCATGCCATCGATGCTAAAGAATTCCTCAGCGATTTTCCAAATTTTCGCATTGTATTCAGCGAGGTCGTCTATCTTTTGTACGCTTGATCCTTCTGGCTTATACAATATGTATTCCATGTCTGTCATTCCAGCTGAGGTCTTGAGGTGCCTCTCCAGACCGTATCGATGCATTTCAGCATAGACATGGGGTTGGTGCCTAACAATATTTATAAGCCCAGTGCCATACACCATCTTCTATAGAGTTTCTAATTACCAATGCACATATGTGCCCCCCATTTCGAGGTCTTCTCCCCATTCTTTGGCTGTCCATGTGCGGCCCCCAATGCGATCGCGAGCTTCCAGAAGCAGTACTTTTAAGTCACGATTCAAGGACAGGTTACGAGCAGCAATGAGACCACAGAATCCACTCCCGATCACGATGACATCGTAGTTGTTCCTATAGAAGCAGTCAGCAGTTGGCACTGGATAAGCTACGTCTCAACACCACCTTTCACCAAAGCAGTGTTCGCAGAAAGTGGGTTATGTACAAAATCCGTTTACCTTGGATTTAACGTGCCTGGCACAACAGCATCAGTCCTTAGACCCTCTGATATCCCTGACCAGTCGTACTTGTGACCTTCTTTCGTATGCGACATGGTTCTAATCGAGAAAAACTTGGTAGTATAGCGATCAAAGCTGTGGTCATTGATGGGACTAGATAGCCCCAAGTTATATTAGAGTATGAACATCCCTCATAAGACCAAGAAGGCAATGCGAGCCGTATCATCCACAAATCCTCTGCCATGACTTGGGACCCATGAACCCGCAGGCGTCGTTTCCCCACTGCCTCAACCCCAATGCGGTAATTGCATCCGGGGCCCGTGCGCCATCACCTGCCTGTCAATCTCCACCTTTCCCCAGACCCGCACACGCGGCAACAGTGATAGCCGGAATCGAGTGAGCTCAATAAGATAAGACGAACGTTGACTGATGGTGATAATGCGATAAGCCACAGCTGGGCGTGGCCCAGTTCGTTACTGATACGATATATGCTTCTTATACGATACTACTAGTACTGCTTGCCTAGATAACTCCAAAGTGTACCATGTATTTCCCCTCCCCTCCTTCAACGTAGTCAAAAGGGTTGATCTGGGCTTCTACTATTCATTCCACGTCGACAGCATCGAAAGTCGTGCGAATTATTCGATATGGCGAGCAACAAAGACTGTGAAAGAGGGCGCATGTCTGGCATCGATGACAAGCCATTAGATCTGCTGACGCAGTCTGAATCCGTATCCGGTACGTACTTGGGTCAATTAGTGGTAAATGGGAAATAGTAGTAAATCATTCACTTACCGCAAAAATATCGCGACACAGCCGGACGGGGGAGAAGAGAGTCGTACCAGGAAGGTTATGTGTCCGAAACCACGACGCGTGATATCACGGCCCTCGAAATCGCATCGATAGGCTGGAGCATTTGCAACAGTTGGGTGGGCGTCCTGTCAACTCTCGCGTTCAATGTCGCGAATGGTGGGTCGCCGGGGCTTCTCTACGGCCTCTGGTTCGTCTTCATCATGTACGGCTTTGTCGTGTATACCTTGGCGGAGCTAGCCCGTGTATATCCTTCGGCGGGCGGTCAGTAAGTTTTTGTTCTTGTCGAATTTCCCGGGGGCTAGATACAGTACTGAAAACTTGAGCAGGTACCATTGGACAGCGGTTGTGGCTCCGAAGTGGTGTGCTCGTGCTACAGTAAGCGGGACCTCTCTGAAAAATGTTCTGGTCCGAACTTTTCATTCGGAACACTGACATGATATGTTCTAGAGCTACGCATGCGGTATGATCAACATATTTGCCTGGGGGGCGCTTGCTGCCGGCGTGGCTATCATCCTTCCGCAACAATTACTGGCTCTCGTCATCACCTACAACCCGTCTTACGAGGTCGAGCGGTGGCACGTGTTTCTGATCTACCAGTTTGTATGCGTGTTGTGCCTGCTGCACAATATTTTCAGTCTCCGACGAACTATGTGGCTGTTCGAGGTCATTTGTATGTATTCCGAATAATGTGTACGAGATGACCATGGCACTCACTCTACACGATGTAGTTGCGTTATCGCTTGCCGCCTTCATAGCCGCCACAGTCACCTCTCTGGCACGGGCCCCCCACTTCCAATCGAGTAAAGCCGTTTGGGTTACATTCGTTGATTTGAGTGGTTGGGACAACAAAGGACTTGTATTCTTTATCGGACTTCTTACTCCAGGTTACATGTATGCTGGAATCGATGGAGCCATCCATCTGGCAGAGGAAGCTCGTAATGCTCGAGCAGCCGTCCCTAAAGCCCTTGTGTCCATCTGGGGCATAGGGTTTGTTACATCCTTCATTGTAGCGGTTGCATCCATGTATGCAGTCCAAGACTTTACCGCGGTTGCGACAACAAAGACTGGGTAAGGCGTAACATCAAATTGAGAAGGCAAGAATCTTACTAAAATTTTGCACAGCTTTCCTATTTTCGAACTCTGGCGTCAAGCAATGAATTCCGAGGCTGCAGCAACTGCCTTCTTAGTATTCACACATGCAGCTGGATACATGGCCGTCGCAGGGTGTCAGCAGACTGCCTCGCGTCTGACTTGGTCATTTGCCCGCGACTCGGGCTTAATCGCCTCTTCGAAGATCTCCCAAATAGACGAACGATGGCAAGTTCCCATATGGGCTCTCTGTGCAAACGGAGTCATGAAATTCCTCATTGGATGTGTCTATCTCGGATCTTCAACGGCCTTTAACGCGTTCATTGGTACCGGCCTGACCCTTCAGCTCATCACATTCGCATTTCCTGCAGCGCTATTGTTATTAACGGGTCGGCCAAAACGATTCTTACCGCCCACCCGCACCTTTGGGTTGCCGAATGCTTTTGGCTGGGTTTCAAACGTCGTCACCGTTGCGTTTGCTCTTTTCTGCCTCGTCTTTTACTGCTTTCCCCCGGCCAGACCAGTGACTGGGACGAACATGAGTGAGTTTGATACTCCTGGCTTCACTATGAATTCAACATTTCTAACAGCTTTAGATTACGCACCAGCCGTCCTTGTAGTAATAAGTATCTTTATCGTTGCAAACTGGTTCTTGCATGCAAGGAAACATTACCATGGACCACAGCTAGAAGATCTGGTTGCATTGTAGTTTGACAGAGTACTGCAGCCTCGTGTATCCAAACGATATTCATGTTTGAATTCTAGAAGAATAGCTTTGCTCTGCTCAAATCTATCGGATCATCAAATCTCCTTCAATGTTGGGCAGTGGGATTGCTACCAAAAACTTGCTTGAATCTAATTATATATAATAAAAGACTTTCAAACATAGCTATCGAGGGATAAAGAATCCTCACTTCGGTCATTTCTCGTATGCTCATGATAGAAACATTAGCGCGCCTGCTCCCCATTTTGTTCGTACTAGATGATTCTAATTAGTGAGTTGCAGTATCCTACTAGCCATTCCTGAGCAAAATCCCTAGACGAGCTGCCGATAAGAGTTACTGACCAGAGTTGCCGAACCAAGCCCAACGCTTGGAAAGCATACGTGTAATATGCAGTCGCACTTCAGACATACCGAGCATGCTACTTTACCTTTCTTCATCAAACCTTGTATTTCCCTTTCGCGTCTAGCGTACCATATGATCGTTTCTCAGAGAAGAATGGTATGCCATATCCTGACCTGCTAGTGTCAGGTTTTTTTTTAAAAAAGAAAAAAAGAAAAATAAGAAGCCCCCTGGCCTCTATAAATGATCTACCAGGCTATTTTCCTTAAGCTGACACTGATCGCTCAACTAGTGATCAGCACCTGAAGTCACCATATCAGTATGCCCCATCAACGCTCCACTACACTCCCCCCACGATATGATCGAGAACGCCCGTGTCTTCCTTATACTCGACTGCGACGTCCCCTAGATCAACAAGCTGTGGAAGCCAAAGCCGGAGGCAAAGGTGTTTCATCTTAATGGTAGTTCCGTTGAAGGAGGCTATGCTGGTTTTCCACATCGATGCGCAGCAGCAGTATTGCGTGGATACGAAAGTCGCGCTAGAGCAGACTACGAAGTACCTGCGTAGTTCTCTGGCCGAGCAGCTTGTGAGTGAAGATTTTGAGTATAGGGCTGAGGCGCTGCTGAAGTCGTGTAATAAACGCATTCGCGTGGTTGATGAGCGGGCTAAGCCCTTAGGTGGTAGGGAGCTCACGACTGATTACATTTGCTCCACTGTGCGGCGAAAGTTGCCTAAAGACACCATCTTCGCGGTCGAGGCAATCAGGAATACTATTGCGGTTGCTGATCAAATCCGCGCCACGCTCCGAGGCCAATTGATTCACCATGAAGGCGGGGGGCTGAGATGGGGCGGTGGCGGCGCTTTAGGCATCAAGCTCGTAGCAGACGCAGCCGATGCTTTTTGGTCCCGGGAAAGTACAAGAGATTCAAAGTGCAGATCTCGGGCGACGGGTCATATATGTTTAGTGTTCCTTTGAGTGTGTATTGGATCTCGGCCTGCTATAAAATCCCCTTACGGACTATTATTGTGAACGATCTGGGCTGGAACACGTCGCGGAGATCTATGTCCTTAGTCTTTCCTGATGTTTCTGCATCGAGGGCTATAAAGGAGGTTGGACGTTGCGATTTAAATAGCCTCAGGTGTTTGGAAGACGTCGTTAGACTAGATCACCACTTGTTCAATTAGCTTTGGTATAGTAAGTCTGTGTATGATTGAACATTTTGCCTAGATTATGAACTATAACGACCCAGCAGTATGTATACTCTCCTCACGACATCTGAACCGTAAATTACCACAATCATATACACAGAATCTATAGAAACACAGTGAGCTAACGAGATTTAAGGAATTCCAGGTACATCCTTCGACACCGCTACTTTAGCCACGCACAACTAGTATAGCATCTTCCATTCGCCATACATTCAATGATACAGGGCTCTACAATAAGTCACTCTGCTTATCTCCAGTATCCACTTGCGCGAGAGAATTTTGTCTGATAAGATAATATTGCGTAGCTTTGGCTGGGCGGAAGGTTTCCGCCTTCCAGCTCTCGTCCTACAGTAGGGCCCGTTTCCAGTTCCGCACTGCACGTCTCCACTTTACCGCAATCTACGGGGCCGGAATCACTGGCTGCACTGCATGTCGATACCCGAGTCTGTAGGTGGGCAAGTGAGGTGTGAGGATACTGCTGCTAGCTTCATACGGCGTGCTTATCCTGTTCGGCTTTACGTATCAGTTGATAACGCAGGACAGGATTGAGCATACACGAGACTCGCTGACGCCCGCACACAGAGACATGAGCGGAATGTCGGTTATGGTAGTCGCTTCAATGATGCCTATATAGTATGCACATATACGTAAATATTGATAGTAATGATACAAAGAAGATGCCGCCACAGCTCCGACGCTGATCTGAACCCAATGATTTTGCGGGCTACTAGTAGTAAAGCCTCAACGCCTACCCGAACAACGTTTCAAGACGCTCTTTAATCATAACATCCATCCAATGGACCATATTTCTTGATGTACATGTGCCGGAATTGGCTGCTTTGTCTGCCTGGCGCCAGACTGCTTCCAAAATTGCGCTTATCCGTTGCACTGGTGCTACGCTGACGCGAGACAGTAATCGCTCAACGCGCAATGACACTTGATTCCGCCACATTTGCAGCTTAGCAGGACGCTGCACCAAAGCAGCTATTTGACTACGGAGCGCATCGAGGTTATTGGCGTTGAGGTCGTAACCTTGATGGACATTGCTCAAGGTGCTTTCTGTAGACTGCAGTGCGCTGCCTGCGGACAGAATGGGAATGGATAGCAAGATGTTCGCACCAGATGGTTCAGGTAAATGGGACGCAATAGTCAGTATCCCAATGGCGAGGTCAAGACTTGTTTGCCTCACTTGGCATGTGGGCGCATCACCTACAATGACTTCAGGAAAACTCTGTATAAGCTCCAACAGAATTACCAGGCGAAGCATCGCGTCCACGGCGACCAGATCGGGGATAGAGGTGTTTGGATCCTGTGTGGCATCCACAGACGTTATCAAAGGAGGTTGATGGGCTAAGACGAGCGTGTACAGTTCTCCAACTCTTTTGGAAATTTGAATATCGAAATCGGAGCCCCGTTCTCCCAGAGACGTTGAATTTCGCTTTTTTCTAACAAGTAAAAGGCTCTCAGCAAGGTATATGAACAGGGGTGTACTGATACCTGTGAAGGGATGAGGGTACACCCTTTGTTCTTGGGCAAGTGTAGCAAAACGCAGCAAGTACTGCAGTGACTCAACAGGCTGATCAATGACTATAGAAAGCAGACATTCCTGGTTTACCATGGCGCCTATTATGAAGGATTGTTCACGATCTAGTACGATAGGGTTTGTTGATGCATCGTAGATTCCTTCGTCGGACAACCATGCCTGGAAAAGCAGTCTCGCGCCATGATGATGGGCCAAACCAATTGCAGAAGCATCAACCCAGGCCTGAAAATGTGTTAGTTCTAAAAGATGTTCGTGAATTTAAATCTTTTTAATTATTCTTACTGCGCTGTTTGCAAGTAGCAGAGCGGCCACTAGCGCTTGGTATCGTGCGAATGTGGCCGATACGCGTGATAAACCATTGTCACTACTTTTATAGTGCCTTGGAAACTCTAATGTTTGAAGAACGGACATGAGCCCTCGTATTGCTTTGGTCTGATATCTTAGGGCGACATTGTCCATGTCGCGAATCGAATTCGCGAGGTGTGCTGCTGACAGAGCTTTGATGCAGTCGTTCAGGTATTCGCAGGTGAGCATGATCGGTGGTATGTCTTTACGGAAAGGATTTCGACGAGAGTCGAAGCACGACACGATCTGACAGGTTTTCTCAAAGTAGTGTCCCGTCAAGTTGTTATCGATTTCGGTATCTATCCAGATGTTGCGCTGCCACGATGTACTCGTCAAGGCCAAGTTATTGGAATCGACACATTGCTGGCCAACTTGTGTTACCGCAGTGCAGACATTGAAGTCCGAGTCATCAGCAGATTGCTGCTCGGTGCTACACAGCCAATCATCGCTAGACGTCAGTCTAAGAGCAGATTCGATAGCATCAAGCACCAGAGTCTGGTGCTGGTCTCTTCCACTATCTATCCTCGTGTCTGGAGAGGTTGATGTGGAAGGCGGTTTATCTTCAAAAAGATCATACACGCTGGATACTGCCGTGTGAGGAGAAGAAGAGCCGTTTGAGAATAAGATTTGCACGGGGGAAGCAATATCGGTCCGCTGCAAATAATCACCGCACATTGTGGAACTGTGCGGAGCGGTGGGTTTTTGCGACCCATGATTATCCAGCGGGGATGTGGGTGAAGCGACGTTGGCCTCATGCTGTTGCTCGCCCTCCTCGATGGCAGCGAGGCGCGATTCAAAGATGCTTGTCTGAGGACTAGTAGCAATTGTGACGGGCGGACAATGCAATGAGGCCTTATCATGGCCGAAAGGACTATCATGGGCGGTAGCGTGCATGGTGGGCTTCTGCTGCCAACTCTGATCAATGACCACGTGCTGTGAAATAGGCGGATCCAGGCTCAGGGGTTCAGCGGTCGCTTGCGTAAAGTCGCTCAAGGGACCAGACGATAATTGTTGCATGGCCAACGTCTTGTGCGGGTGGTTTCGGACAGCTCCCGAGGTGAGAGAAGCTGTCTTCCATCGCAACTGACGAGCGAAGCCGGGGCACTGAACATTGCGTCCTTGACAGCTCCGACAGTGAGGGCGGGTCTCATCGCATTTGATGCGCTGCGGGGGTTTGAATATTAGCTTTTCTATGCACAAAACAAAACCGGATGGCGGTGATGGTTTACTTTTTGCCGGCAGGCTCCGCAGCCATCTGCAGAACGACAGTTAGTCGCGATGTGGCACCCAGGGCGTCATGACGTACATACTTCTGCTCCGAGTGTGCTTAAACATATGTAGCCGTCAGAATGCGCTGTGGCAAGTTTCTATCCTTACCATGCGCAAGTGCATGGTGGGTTGTGAGAAAAGAGTGCAGTACGTAGGTAAATGACTATCTACGGGTCTGATAAGGTCTGATAGGTGGATGCATCCCCGCACACGTGAGGGGGTGCCAGCGGAGTCTAACGTCGGCACTCGGTGGCCGAAACAGGACGGAATGAGACTGCCAAATGTGTATGTAATATGTATGTACAGTTGGGACATGAGGAAGCTGAGCATTCTGGCGCTGCAATGATCCATATCTGCAGTCGTACTTTGTCTCGCCAGCCAGCGTTGGTTGCACCTGCAAATCCCTAAGATAAGTAATTAAACTAGATAATCATATTCAGATGCTGTCTATCACTCTTAAGATTGCTGCGTAGATCGCGGACCAAAATAATGACCATAGTAACGCCGATAATGCGTTTTGTTCAGTACAGAGTTCTTCCACTCAGCGGGCAATGAGAATCCAGCATTGCCCTCAATGCCCGACTGGCCTATCTTCCAATAGATGGTCAAAGATCTTCCCGGGATTTATGATTCAAAGCGGATGTTGCCGTCGCCAATACGGCCAACGATGCCAGCAAACAGCCCCAGTGCTGCCACCTCTGTTTTATTAATGCCAATGGGTTCAGGCAGCTGTGAAATGGGTACCGCCACATCCATCGCCTACACATCTTCGTCCCCCTCACGCAGCGACAGCACCGACCATAGCGCCTGCTTGCGCGCCGCCCAGAGGCTCGCCTGCTCCTCAGCTGTCGATGCGAATTGCAGTGTGCCTCCGCCATTGCTAATTGCCATCTCGCTAAATTGGCGCGTCGTCTCCGCGATCTGGCCCGGGCTGCCAATGAACCTGAGTAACATAGTTGGCATCACCCCCCACTTCCTGTCCGTCCCTCCAGTCCGGTTGACCGCATCCATGATCCTCATGGCTCCCGTTTGGATACCCGTCCAAAGAATTGCTGTTGCGGCAGTGCTAGCATCGCGCACCAGGGGAAACGTAGCAAAGCCCACCTTCGTTTCTGCTGGGATCGCGGCCAGCTTGAGCGTGGCCTCTGTGACGATGCCGAGCGTGCCTTTACTGTCAATGAAGAAACTAGTCAGGTTGTAACTCGCAGTAGTCTTTCGCGGCCTGTAGCGCGTCTTGATTACCGAACCATCCACCAACACAATAATCGGGTTGATGACGTTGTCCTTCATTGTGCCATAGCGAACCGCATTTGTACCCGAGAAGCTTGTGCCCACCATCACTCCGATCATCGCGCTGGGCCCAGCATCTACTGGGAAGAAAAGACCGCTTGGTTTAAGCTGCCTCCTCAGCTCCATCCACCCGATCCCCGGCTATACCACAATATCCATATCGCTTTCATGAAGCGCGACTATCTTGTCCATGTTGGGAAAATCGATGCAAATACCCCCGTACGGGGCAGAGGAGTTGCCTTGAACAGAAGACCCGCCAGAATAGGGAATCATGCCCATTGTTGCGAGTTGCAACAGCTTTTTCACTTGTGTAATCGAATACTTTGGCATGCCTTACCCATCGGGATCTTGAAGCGCGCGCACACTTTTGCAATCCTCGACACTGAGTCAGTTGGCTTTGGGTACGCAATCGCAACGGGCATGCGCTCGATGTTTAGCCATGCCTTCGTAATTCGTCGTTGTCGGTAGAAGTGGCATCACTTCCTCAATCGCTTTCTAACTCTGCGATAGCCTTGATTCTCAATAGGTTTCTGTGAACGCCCTTTTGATATTCTGACGCATCTTTTCCAACTCGGATCGACTCGCATATAGAGGGTTTTTCCTTTACAACCGTCACCTGTGATGTTGTCCCCGCTATGGGGCGTAGTTGAGATCCAGCGTAGAAAGATGTACTTGCCGACGCGAGAAGAGCAATGACTAATATGCCAATTCTAAGTGAAGTTCTGAAGATATGCGATGAGACGACGTGTTAGCTGTACGATCGGCGGTTTTGTAGTGTGGGTACAGGAAACACCTTGGTTCAACGTGGAAGACGTTTCATAGCTGTGACGAAAGAAGAGAAAAAAGAGACAAAGAAGCACTGATATATAAGCAGCATGTGGTGTCAAAGTACTAATATAACGAGAAACTCAAGACGACGATATATGAATAACGTAACCAGATAGACACACAATTACATAGAACTATGCTACGCAACACTAGACCAACAAGGTATGTCTTCATTTACCTAATTCATAATTTAGTAAGTAGGCTATTTTTACTGAATGCGGGGTAGTACCAGATATTACGTACCGTATGCTTAGGCCGTTGAAGCCACCGATGCTCCAACGTAGTGTCTGTGCGCGGAATCACAAGCAGTAAGCACGGTACGGGAAAACGCTCCACAGAGGCGGAACTAAGTGCAGGGAGATATATAAATGACAGATATGCAATATATAACAGGGGGGGGGGGATCAGATATCGTTGTAGATACCCCACAGCACAGCAACACCCTGTAGCACAATTTGCTCCAACTGCAATAAAGCTACCATCCAAGAAATATGGCTTCTCGCAAGTCGAATGAGCGTTGTGTAACTTAAAGAATTAGAGTAGGTCCAGAAGGGATGATGCTAGACCAACACGATATCATCTATGAGGAAAATACATGATTGGACATAGTAGTGATTTCAAACTAGTAGTGAAAACACTTGCTTTACCTTCGAGGTGTATAGTAATCTCACCCAGCGTGCTGATCGCCTCAAAGCAGCATCGTAGCGCTCTATCGTTGGGTTACTTATATGGCTCCGATACAAAACAAGTAACAGAAATTTGATGGTCTATAGATAGTCGTGTTGTTCACGGGACGAATCGCTAGTGAGTCTCGCTAAAGCAACGTACGTTGTACGTAGCGCGTGCAGTATCTTAACACCATCACAACACCACGACTATAGGAACCACAGGGACTAATAACGCCACTTTCTCTGAAATCCTTCAGGAAGCAATCGTAGACTGCACTCTCGTCTTACTCAAGCCCGCCATGACAACACGTGGAGGCGGATTCGTTGGCAGAGGAGGCATGGGCGCACAAGGCCGCATCCAACGCATAAAGACACACGTCCTCCCATTCACAGACCATACAGCCAAAGAAGCCTTGGTGATCTTCGAAGGCCGAGAAACATGCCCACTTCCACCCCTTTACAGTTTCGCCATGTACTTCACGCACAAGGACGTGAACGCAGAAAGCCTCCAGCCAGCCGAGCTCCTGGACGCCATCAGACGCGGTACCCCGCTGCAAAACTACCCCTGTTCCTTCCGCCTAGAGATATACTTTCTCCCTGCCCCAAGTGAAGACGCCGCGTCCGACGAAGCGTGCATGGCGCATTACCGCGAGGAGAAGCGCAGCCGGGGCGACTACACGCGCCAAATCGACGCAGTCGAGGCTCCAGGTAGCAGCACTGCTAGTAGTACCGGAGGTCTCCCTGGCTTCGTACCAAGCTACATCAACGACCCCTACGGCGACTTTTATCATAGTCGTCTGTACAACTACCAAGGACCCAACTGGCGCACAGATAAGCAGCCGGTACGCCGCGTTTTCTTCGATCCCATCCCGCAGGAGCAATATGCACCGATTGCGGAGGAGGCGGGGGAACCAGAAGTCTTGCCGCCGGTGAATGTCACGCTGCATATGATGCAAGAGAGCGATGCGGAGGATTCCGGTGCGAATTTTTTGGGTTTGACGATGTATGACACGGCGTATATTAAGACGGAGAATGAGACGAATGGGGCGTGGCAGGAGGCGGTGGAGCGGGGTTGGTCAACGTGGTAAGAGTGGGATAAGTTGCTCAGTTTCACGTTTTTCCTACGGAATATGTCAAGGAGCGGTCATCACGAGATATTCCTTGTCGACGAGCATGTTTATCTGGACAAATGGAAACTATAGCTCCCTATATTATACATCTGCATAACCCCCCTCCCCCTCCCCCATTCGCCCCCTTTCAACCTTACTAGATCGTACAAAAGAACACTATACTTGCAACACACATCCCGCTTCACCACCAACAGCATACGCAAAACCAAGCTTAACTCGATATCCCGACGCAGTACGCATAGTCTGGCCAGAAATTCGTCGTGCAATCATTCTGGACGGCAGGGTTCCTGTATCACCATGTCATTAGCATCACAAACCCCACTTATACCCTTAAGGAAAGGGAACTCACCATTTATAAAATGTATCAAGCCCAATACCATAGAGTTGGGAAATAGTCCAGCAGGTATCACCAGCTACATCTCATTAGCCAACTCCGCATCATGAAAACATTCAAGCGGACCTCGGGGGTCCTTGCTACAGAGATATACTTACAACCAACAACATGCCATTTATTGCATCCAGCAACTGTACCGGGGTGTGTGGGACCTGGGATGGCGGGTGCGGTGGACGTAGGGGTGGCAGATGTGGGGGTCGGGGTCGGGGTGAAGGTGCTAGAGATTATGTCGGTAGGGAGGGCGTCGGTGGTTACGCAGTAGCGGTAGTCTAAAATATTGTTAGATGGAATTAAAGCTATACAAGGATGATGGAGGAAGGGGGGGAGGAGGACGAGACATACTAAGCCATAAACCTGTGCAATCTGGGCCGACGGCGGGATTCATTTTATAGAACTGCGCGATAGTGATGTGGTTTCGATCGAGGAAGGACTGGCACGTCATTGGCCGGATGACGGGTTCATATTCGACACATCCCGCAATGGCGCCTTCTCTGATCGGATAGTAATCTACTCCTTCGTCGGTAGGCGTGACGCTTACGGGCGAGCCGCTGCCGTATGCGGCCATGCAGTAGCGAAGGTCTTTTGCTGGGGCACAGTCGGTAGAGTTAGTTATCAGAGATGGGTTCCTAGTTCGGCGTTAGTACTCTGCGTTTTTCTGTATGCATAAAAACAATGGGCTGTTGACGAGATAACTTACCAGTTCTCCAACTCCTCCAACGTAATCCCCCATCCTCTAGCAAGCGCCGCACAAGACGACGAATACGCTTGCAGCATCGTCTCGTCAACAGTCAAATTCGCACCGTTCATGAACAAAAAGCAATCTTTCCTTGTCCCCTTAGCCAATGGTGATGGAGTCGGCAACCCGAGTATCGGGGGCGCGGTAAACGTTGCCTTAGGGAGGCTGTTGTACGGGATCTCCGCCACCGACGTTGCAGGAGGCATGTAGTCGGGGTGACTTGGGTACTCATTCACGGAACCTACGGGTTCGACACAATAGCTCTCAAATGCAAAGAGGTTTGTACAATTGTCGTTGATACCTTGGTTGAGGAAGCGGAAGTCGTCGAGGCTGATGCTGAACTTGATGACGAGGAGGTTACAGTATTCTTCTGGCTGGACTTGGTAGAACTTGGCACAATTGGTGTTTGTACCGTTTGCAAGGTCGCCAGGGACAGGGACTGCAGTCGGCGTTGCAGTGGGGATAGGCGTGGGGATTAGTGTTGTTGTTGGGTTGGGCTCGAAGTCTTGGTCACCAGGCGGAGTCACGCAAATGGTGTCGCCGACCGACTTTTCGATCCCATTGCACAGATATCCAAGAACGGGGTTCCCTGATCATGAAGGATGACTTAGTGAGCTGGTTTGGATTTCCAAAGTCTTCTGGAATGATTGGACGTACATGTATATAATTGCACCTGACTTATCCTGTTCGCCTTCGCTATATTAAGGCAAGTATCACCCTTTTTGACTGTGTAGGTGCTGCAGGTATTCTGGATGCAGATATCACCAGTGGTAGGGAACTCTGCACAAAATGCCTTGAGTCCATTATCCGCGAGAAGCCAAGAAGTAGCAACGTTCTCGGCTTTGGAGATGGATTGACAAGTGTCGCCAGACTTAACTGTGTACGTCTTGCCATTACATTTTCCCGGTGCAGTGGGGGTGGGAGTTGGTCTGGCCAAGTTAGAAGCATGGTTTGTGATATGTTTGCAGTGATTGCTTACCCTTCGAAGGGGGCAGTCGAGGTCGCCAAAGGAAATCCAGTCTTCGAACAGCTTGCCGTCAAAGAGCTATAATTCGCCTGAAGTGCATATCCGCCATTGATTGGTGATCCGGCTTGGAACTGGTACTGCTTGATCACACAATTATCGCACATGTCGATCTCCATCTGTTCTTGTCTTCCTATGAAACTGTTAGACAGATATCCACAGATATTCAGCCATGTGTAATAATCCAAATCCTGGAACGCAAGGTGGTTATGGTATTGTTGCTGATTAACTTACTAATGATTGGAGACGGAATGGCTTCAGCAGATGCATTCAGAGTGGCAGTCTCGTTGCCACCAAACATGCGTAGAGATGGCGTGGTACCATTTGACATCTCGTATGCGACTCGATTACACCAACGATTGCCATCTTGCAGGCAAGTCCGATTGAAGTAGTAGTAGAGTAATTCTGGAACGAACGAGATGGGTGCAGTACGTGTGTCTGAGATGTTGTAAACATCCGTGGGGCCACACGCGCTTTTGGCTGCTGAGCTATACGCAGATATCGAGGCTGCGCAATCGGCTGTACAAGCTTCTTCAAGAGCATCAACTTCAAAATATGACCCTTTTGAGAAGGTGCTGATTTGGCGTGGACAGTTGGGGACATCTTTTGTCAAGCTGGCGATACAATTGGCGGAAAGGTCGTTGGATGGCAAAGTGTTTGTGGTGATGAATTGAAAAGCATCGCAGTTTGCCAGAAGGGTGAAAATGGCCACGCGCAGCAAAGCTGCTCGGAGCGACATCATGAATGACAATACTGATGATGGACTGTCGGTCCACGAGCACTACTATGGGATCTGATACTTCATGGGAACATGAAGCCCGTGCTGTCCGAAGACGCCTCTACACCGAGAGCGAGCATATAAGGCCACCATAGCGCTCGTCATGAGAAATGAACAAAAGTGTTAGTGGAAGCCGTAGCGTGGCGGATGAAAGCAGCCTCCGGGGCAAAATCAGGGGGTGCCGCCAATAACGAGGCGAGGGTGTCCCGTCCCATGGCTCCCGAAGCCTGGGCAAGTGCATACATCTGCCCACCTAGATGCAATTTTTCGCCTGACAATCAAAGCAAATTGAGAAATGCGGGTAGATCATGGGGCATTAGATGGATGTTTCCGCCCCCAAGTGACATTTTCCATCTTGCCTAGCCAATAGTAGGGGTTTTTTTCTCTTGGCAATTGGGGCCAAAATTAGTGTTAGCCAGTATCCCGTGCTGCACGCCTTACGTTCGAACACTACCTACCTGCTTAATCGAATGTCTATAGGAAATTGCATAGCTACTAGGGTATGCTATGATTGACGGCCCAAAAGCCAATCACGTCACAATACGATTAAATCTCAAACTCCCTGCCGCTGAATGATTCCTAACTGGGTAGTGCTGCCAAGGAAATGCTTCTGAATATAGATTGACTATGCCCGCCGTTAACATCCTATCTTTTTATTCCCGAATAAGGCGAATCTGGACGGACTTGGCAGGATAAGAAGATTCTTTAGGCTACACTTGGCAAAGAAACTTTTTACTGCAGGGTCCATTCGGGTACCTGACCTTTGCACTATCTGCAAGGAACGATCGCCAATCTCCCGCGGCCCCACTAAACACCATACCTCGGCACTTGCATACAATCTGCGAAGTCCATCTCGTCTCGGTCTTTTCGCTTCACTAACGGTCCAAGGAACTGCCTATAGGAGGTTTAGGGCTTGGTTTGCCCTGCAGAGAAAAGGGGTTTGTTCAAAATCTACATCCGCAGCCGCACCTCAACCCTGCAATCGATATGCAGGATGAAAAACTGGCCACAGCGATGTTGACCCACATTCGCGGCGGGATGCCTGAGGGAAATTGTAAAGCCTGCTATGCCTTTTGCATACGCATGGTTACGCCGAACCGTCTCTTCCAGCCGCCTAATATCTCTCTTATGAGCCCCGTTGTTAAATCACCTTTCCTTCTGCTTCTCTCGGCCAACTGTGCTTCTTAGAACAATTTGAAAAGTAAATTTTCCAACCGTTAACGATCGATGAAGGACCTCATTCACTGACAAACCATAGAGGGACTTGAAAGCGCTTTGCTTGCCCATGGTGGCTCACCATGGTTTACTTGTCATCTTTTCTCTGGCATTGCCTTCTCCTGGCTGCTACGACAACAGCCTCCCCCAGATATGGTCATCATCACAAAAATGCTCATAAGCATCAACGGGCAACCAATGATGCCACAGTACAGGAGCCTATCTGTTTACCGATTCCAACGGCCTTTTACCATCAGGACGATGTAGTCGCCAAGATCAAGCCTACAGAGGGAGTATGTAAGCTTGATGAACATATAACCCCAAAGGCGCGAGCTCCAGCGACGTCACCAAACGTTGGCTTTGAGCCCTCTGGTCTCATCGCGCGCCAAGCAGATGATCCCTACTCTTGCAACGAGAACAAGCCTTGCAGTAACGGAGCTTGTTGCGCCAAATCTGGATACTGCGGTTTTGGAGAGAAGTCTTGTGGAACAAATGGCCAGTCCCCTAACGATGTTTGCTGGAGTAATTGCGATGCTCATGCTGAATGCGGTCGTAATTCGAATCCCCCCAACAAGGAATGTCCTCTGAACGTCTGCTGCAGTCAATTCGGATTCTGTGGCATGACAGATGAGTTCTGTAAGATTACTGACGACAAGGAAACGAGCTGTCAGAGCAATTGCGAGCAGCCTGGCAGTGGCGCATCGGGCGGCAATGTCCAAAAACGCATCATTGGATATTACGAGGCGTGGAACTACCAGAAGAACTGCATTGGCATGAGAATGCAAGATATTCCTATCGGCAGTTTGACTCACATATACTACTCGTTTGGGTACATTCGTCCAAGCACATACGACATTATTCCCATGGACGACGGCAAACCTCTCTCCACCGACACATTCACTGAATTCGCTAGTCTCAAGCAAAAGAACCCAGCACTCAAAGTCATCATTGCCCTAGGCGGCTGGACCTTCAATGACAACAACACGATATGGCAGCCAGTGTTTAGCGACTTGTCCTCAACATCCACCAAACGAGCACTTTTCATCGAAAAGCTCCTCACCTTCTTCAATCGCTACGGCTTCGATGGTGTAGACTTGGATTGGGAATATCCGGGAGCTCCCGACCGTGGTGGAAATCCTGATGATGGCGAAAATCTTACCAAGCTCTTGAAGGAAATGCGTGCCGAGTTTGATAAGTCAGGTGGTTCTCATAAAGAAATCTCTTTTACCGCTCCTACTAGTTACTGGGTGAGTACAGTCCGAACATTGCTCTAATTGTGAAAAAGATACTGACTCTAAGTCTCATTCCTCAGTACATGCGACACTTTGACATCAAGGCCAGCTCAGAAGCTGCGGACTTTGTTAACCTCATGGCCTACGACTTGCACGGTGTTTGGGATGGCGAAAATCCTATCGGGGCCCAGGTTCTTGCTCACACTAACCTCACCGAGATCGGTAAAGCTCTAGACCTCCTGTGGAGGAATGGCGTAGACCCCGAAAAGATCAACATGGGGCTCGGCTTCTACGGTCGGTCATTCCAACTGGCAAATCCTGCATGTTCGCAGCCTGGCTGCCCCTTCAAAGGCGGTGCCTCTCCCGGCTTGTGTACTGACAACTCTGGAACTCTCTCGTATTCGGAGATCATGGATATCATCAAACAAAACGATCTCACCCCGTATTATGACAAAGAACACGGTGTCAAATATGTCACATGGGGTGGTGATCAATGGGTATCTTATGACGACTTCGAGACATTCCAGCAAAAGATTGAATATTTCAACGCCCTTGGTCTTGGTGGTATACTCATTTGGGCTATCGATTTAGACACAAAGCAGCTTGATGCGCTCGAGGCGGTCATATATCCCGAGCCGCTTGGATCGAGAGCTGAGGAGGCAACCGCAGCAGACAACTGGCAAGATGCTGGTGAAGGACAATGTAGAGTCACAGAATGCGGTGTTGGCAGTTGCAAATTAGGTGAGGTTGCTGTCACACAAACTCAATGTGAGGACGAGGATTTCTGGGATGGGTCTTTCAGAGTATCTACATTATGCTGCCCGCTTGCATCAGCCCCCAAAGCAGAAGACTGGTAAGTCTCGACTTCTACATGTCCTTTGGTATTAAATGCTGACAACTTTTAGTGCATGGAGAGGCGGTGAGCCAATATGTAATGGCCAATGCCATTCCGGCGAGGTTGCTCTACAATCATCCCTATACGGCGACTGGGGCAAATGTATGGATGGTCGCAAATTTTATTGTTGCAAGGCAGAAGCGCAAATGCCCGATTGTGGCTGGACTGACTGTGGTGGCTCCTGTCCCGACACTCACAATGAGATGACATGGGCGTACGATACGTGCAGTAAGAAGCAGAAACGCAAGCTCTGCTGCAACAAGGAAGAAGGATGGAAGAATTGTGCTTGGCATGGTAAGCCTGGTAGCTGCTTCGACAACCACTGCGACACTGGCTGGCAAGTGGCTATAACTACTCTTTACGAAGGAGAGGGTGAAGACTGCGGCTATTGGAATTCTGACCGCCAACGCACGTACTGCTGCGATCCACCAGATGGAAAATCTCCATTCTTGCCGGTACCGCTCGACTTTCTCTTCAGCAACCCTCCGCCCGAGGCCGAAGCAGATACCGAATTCAACCTTAAGACGGATCCAACCTATGGTGGAAGTAACACTGTACCATTCGCAGAGCAACCTGACAACGCACCCTTTGGATTCGTTGTCCTGACGAGTCCAGACACCCTACAAGTATCCCTCGACAAGCGCGATGGCTCTCATTGGGAAGTTTTCGATTGTTTTGATTCAGTATCCGAGGGGGAGCATACTGTGAGAATGATGTGTACTGATCGAAGCGATTCATCCAATTGCGACAAGATATACCTGGGTCACGGAGCTCCTGGCACCATTGTCGAGATGCCCTCTGGCTGCGGACCGGGTAAATATGCTGTGGTCAAGACGCTTGAGCTCAGTAAAGACCAGGGATTGCCTCACCACCTAGTGAAGCGCGGCATGACAGTGGTTGATCCTATCTACGACCTGACATTTGATTATCAATTCAAAAGAGTCCCGCGCGATCTTGGCAACACTCAGATGAGAATCGACTTCAGCAACGAACCAGAGTATTGGAACAATATCGTCAACAAGACTGCCAGCAGTAAGCGACGAAAGAGAAGTTTGGAAGAAGTAGGCGGTAGTCACAAACGTTGGCTGGAAGAGGAATGGCGAGACGATATGCATTTCGGAGGGCTTTCCAAAGAAGAACTCCATAAGCGTTGGTTCGGCAGTGACATTGTTGACTGGCTCAAGGGCATTATCAATGGTGTATCTGGCGGACTAGACATCAGCCACACGTACTCCGACGATTTCGTTCTCAAGATCATCGACCAGCGGCTGACTTGCCCCAATGTTGCCGCCAAGTTGGAAGTGAAGGCAGAATGTCATGTCGATGTCGACGTCAATTACGGCTTTACTCTTGTTGCCACACTTGGTAATCCCGGCACCCTCATCGACCTCAGCGATTCGTTTCTGTACTTCCGTACCAAGGGCGAGGTAGATGCTAAGTTCGTCATCGACGCAGCCGTCACCGCCATGTTTGACACCGGCGATATCATGATGTTCTCTGCGGACAAGTTTGGCGCAGCCTTCGCGGTACCCGGTATCGTCACTATTGGCCCAAATTTCAAGCTCTTCGGAAGACTTGAAGGTCAAGCAACATTAGGTGTTAACTTTGAGAGCAAAGTCAAGCTGGCAGAGTGGGATATCCGGCAGACCTATCCAGTCGCAAACGACGAATGGGACCCTGAAGCATCCAAAACCCCGGAGAAAAAAGGCACGCAGAATGTGCTCGAGCCTGAGTTCGATTACGGCCTCACACTTGAGGGCCACCTTACCGCCCACGTCAAGCCGACTATAACATTCGGCATTGACTTCAACAAAGACTTCATTCCGATTGACAGCTGTGCTGTCAATCTTGTGGCCGACGGCCATGTCACCTTCCACGCAGAGCTGAAGGTGAATAGCGAGTCTTCGTTCTGCTACGGCGTGGATGCTGGAGCCGATCTTTATGCGACTCTTGACGCTCCGTCCGAGTTCAGCTGGGCCCTTCCCAAATCACCATTTCCTATTGTCCCTATCGACGACGTTCAACTCTATCCTACTGGTGATACGCCAGCATGCATAGATCTCTCTAAAAAACGAGACTCTGAGTATGACCCAAGCAACATGCAAACTGCGCATGATTCTAGAAGACGTTCATCAATAACGCAGGGCAAGAGCAGAAACACCACGAGCGAACTTGCGAAGAGGGCTAAAGTATATGGTCCTTTAGTGCCTCGCTTGGAGGGATTGAGCTGCCCAGGAGCTATTAACGTTGGCGATATTCCTCCATGTCCATTGTGTGGCGATGATGGTGGTGAGAGTCTTGAAAAGCGTGCTGACTCCTGCTGGCTTGATCCTTACAGCAGTGGCCATAGTTGTCCTGCGGATCTTCCTGACAAGCGCGGCATTCAGATCGATGACTTTGTCGGGAACGAAACTGAGCTTCATCATCTGGAGAAGCGCGAAACAAAGTATGTCAGTTGGGCCGGCCAATATCTTCCTTGCGGAACCTATAAGTATTGCAAGGCGGCAAGTGCCATAAGCGGCGTGAACAAATGGTTCGGCTTCAGAAGCGGGACTGGTCCATGTCCAGTGACCATTGAGAAACTTACTAAATCCCAGACAGACACCTCGCAATACGCCAGTAAGTTTTTCCCTCAAGCATCATGCACGCTCTATTGCCAAAGCATCCTTGTACTGACTTCTACCAGCTGAGCATATTTACGAGGTACAAATGTTGCCACTCTTCTTTGAATGGCTTATCACTGGGTCACTTCCTGGTGGCTACACAAATCCTTCACGAGATTGGGTGGATTACGTTCTCGTTGGAATGGATCCCAACGTTATAGCTCCGCATGTTGCTCCTGGGTGGGTTGAGCAATCTCTATTTTTCGAAATGACCCACGGCCTAGGGGGCGACCACAACCCTGGTGGTCTCGCCCTAGCCGATGGAGGTATGAATGGTAGAAAAAACAATTTGTTCGGTGGCAAAACTATTTCCTCCAAGCTCGAAGATAACAACCTCAACACACGAAAGATGCACCGAAACACAGCTGCTGTATTCTCATACATGCGTAACCCCTGGATTTGGCCCAAATTCGTCGAAACATCGCAGTTTATGGAAGAGATGCTCCATGATTTCGATACTAGCTTCAATTGGAACGGCAACGCAGCTGAAAACAATGGACAGCTAGGTAGACCACAGCGTGCTGCCAACGCTCCCACGGCAGGGCTGCGCGACCTATACTGCTACTGGATTGACAAGCATCTGACTGAAATTGAGGCTACCGCTGCCCTGTGGCTCCAGGCCGCAGAGGCCACCTACAGAGCGTCATCCTTTGCCACTGACAACGCGGGAATCCAGTGGTTGCAGAACGTTATGACCCCCCAAGGGCCCATATCGGCTGGAAATCTGGTGTTTCTTCATAGCAACCAGGTTCCCCACAGATTCAACCCAGGAAATACAAACCGAGTGACATGGTTGCTGAGTAACTTCGACGATTTGTGGAGAACTGGGCCAGGCTATGGGCCAGCTGGGCCATTCTAAGCATGTAAGATTTTCTTTTGTTGGGAGGCAGAATATTACTCTGCACGGGCGAGATCGTATTCTTCACATATGTGCTGTATAGAGTTTCGAAACCTGGGGGTGTCCCCCTTATTCTTTGGACAATTTCTCTACCCCCATGAATTGCCATGACATACAGACCATGCGCAAGGCTCAACAAACCTTTAGTGACTATCAGGTCTCCATTTCTCTTACTTGCTTTTCTTTCCTTCATGAGACCGACTGTACGAGCTAGCAGTCGAACAAGAGCGACCATTCCATACAATACTGACTGGACCTACACTCGAGGTATCTCCGTCTCCACAAACTCGCGATTAATATCATGAAAATACGAGCTTGTAGCTTATGACTTCGAGAGTCTATTCAGCGAGCTTGTGCAATAGCTAGACGGTCCAAATCGCAGAAGTAGCAAAACAAAACAAAGTTTTACAAGTAGTGTATGGTTTATGACCAGTGGAACAATTATATCAGTGGATCACAAAGTACACTACATGATATGAGCCAAAGCACTATGCATATCCATGTAGCTAAGGCCGATCGAGCTCATGAGACATATATATCTTCGCGAAAAGAGAAGCAACGCTTTGTGTTTGGTCTCGTAGCTGTAAATAGAAACGCCCCGCTCAAGTGTCTAGTCAGGGTTTCTGTTCGACCTTCTAGGAGGAGCTTTGATCTCAACAAGTCAGCAGGAAGAATGATGACAGTAGAAAATTTTCCAGTGCATCGTCTTTCTCTCGCCATCAACCTACGTTTGTGCGCGCAATGGACATTGTTCTTTTGTGTTTATTCAACCCTACATCTAAAAATAATTTCTCCACAACTTCGTGCACGAGAGGTGCCGAAGGCCCGACCCGGAGATTTGTCTCGGGACATGAAGTCAACCTCTGAGTCTTACACAGCGTTGACTAATACACTGGACTGGGTTAGGGCTGGCAAGGCTTACTTCCTGTGCGAGCCCTCGTACGATTGTCTGGAGATTCTGATGGAAAGAAGCTACGCAAAGCAGACCAAAGATACGCATAGGTCATGGAGAATACAGTAAATACGAACAGCAACGGACGACTATGGTCCCCCGGATTGGCCCCTGTCTCTCACACAGTCAGATCCCGACTCCCCACCCGAGACCTCTCATCTCTCAATACGTGCCGTCGCAACTTGCAAGGTACTTGAATGAAAGCAATATCGTTTTTAATTTGCCATCTGGAAGCAGCGGAGAAGACATGAGACAGATGTAATCAGACTAAGCCCACAAAATCCCCAGAAGTCATTCCGTGCACTCGGTAATCGGACCGTTAGATATCGATTGCGGGCATGTTTCAACCTAAATTCCACGATACGCACCCGATTCTGGCAACGAGATGACGAGTAATCAGCGGTAAACATGAAACGACCAGCTACCGCATTGCAGGGGCCGGCGTCCCCACATCTCGCTTCTGGACTCTGAGCTTTCCCGTCCCGGTAATCACCAAGAGGACCAAGAGACATGTCGTGAATTCTTTATAAAGCCAAGCGGACAATCAAGCTTTCTCTCCAGTCTTGGTTGTTTCATTCACCCACTTTTTCATTCCTTTGACACTTATCCTAGTCGTTCATTCTCTTCTTTTTACCCCACAAGTACACCATCTTTCCTAAAATGGTTCGATTCACTTCTACCTACACAGCAGCCATCTTGGCTTTGGCGTCCTTTGCTGCGGCTCGTCCTGCAGAGTGTCACGTTAAGAGCGCAGGCGCTCATAACGACACGCCTGCTCCTGCAGCCTCCTCGCCCGTTGCTGACGTCGCGTCCGTTCCCGGCACCTCTTCCAGTCCTGGAACTTCGCCTGTTCCTGACGCTGATAACACCCCTGCTCCTGACAACTCACCTATTCCCTCGCCTACCTCTCTCGTCATCCCGTCTTCCACCAGCATTCTCGCTGTTGTCCCGTCTCCAACTAGCACTCTCGCTGTCGTCCCGTCTCCTACCGCCTCGTCGGCTTATGCACAGACTTTCAATGGAGACCTCACCTGGTATGGAAAGGACTGTGGAGAAGAATCATGCTGGCAAGATGGAGCCTGCGCCTTCGTCGACTATGTCCTCCCCGCCACGATTGACGGCTCAACCTGCGTCTCCGAAGTGATCTGGAACAGCTCCTACCACTGCGGTGCCTGTGTCGAGATCGACTACCAGGGCACGAAGAAGATCGCCATGGTAAGAAGAGTACCCCTTCTGAAAAAAAACGAACTGGGTTATAAAATACTAACAACACAAACAGATCACCAACAAGACTGGTGGTGATTCCGTCCACCTGGATCTCTCACCCAACATGTTCTCCAAGCTTGACAACAAGAACAAGGGCATGATTCACTCCACCTGGAAATACGTCGAGTGCCCCATCGCCGATCCTCTCCAGATCCGCATGCACGGCGGTTCGTCCCAGTACTGGTTCGCTGCTACCGTCGTCAACGCCAAGCTCCACACTGCCAAGCTCGAGGTCTCTAGCGATAACGGAAACACCTGGAAACCAACCACTCGCAACATCAACAACTTCTTCACCCTCGTCGGAAACGGCGGCACTGGCACCAAGACTGCCTGGGTCAGGCTTACTTCTGACCTTGGCTCTCAGGTCATTGTCAAGGATGTCGAGTTGGTTTCTGGAAAGACCACCAAGGCCACTGCCAACTACCAGTAAAAAAGCAACACTCGAATCTTTTCTCCGTTGACACCCAAGCGGGGCTGTGTAGTATAGCTCGGTTTTGGGGGAGGATAAGATCGCACTCCTTTTCTTTAATTTCTTCATCCAAAAATTTCGATTAGTTTATGTATTATATTTAGACCCCAAAATTATATTTATTTTCAAGGAAAGAAAACTCACTGACTGTTGTTGCAATCGCCTTGATTGAACATGTGCTGAGTGTCTGATCAACTATGTTGGGGGGAAGGGGGGACATAAGCGTGAAACTGGTGACTGCAACAGCTCCAAATGCCGCATACATACGATGTGAGTTTCCTTGTTCTGTGGATAGTAGAAGATACAGGGTTTTTTTAAATGGCAGCATGACGACTCTAGGAGTTCAAGTTTCACTCTTGTCGCAGGTCTTTGGTTGCGAACGGGTCTTGTGTATGAATACTGATATAGTTGCAAGACTATTTCAAGCTTTTCAAAAGATATGTCTCTATTAAGTTAGCACAGAAAAGGTCAACTCATGATTGTACAAATTGCATTCATCTACCTCGCTGAAAATGCCACAATGAGTTGCGTTGCTCAACGTTGGTAATGGTGTAAACTGGTCAACGCCCAACGCCGAGAAAAGATGCGAATTTTGGAGATGCAAGATTGTCGAGCCTCAAATGCGTCTGAATTGCTTCTCCATTCCTTATCTATTCACTTTTACATCCGGTAGCAATCAAACATGCTTGCGCAACTTTGCTCCTGTCCATAAAACTGGGGCAAAGTGTGTTGACATGTTGAAACCAAAGAGAGATGCGAACCAGAGTATGGCCATGACGGCAACTGGTACTAGCAGCAGCTCTGTGTGGTGTAGGAAGGGCAGCTCTTTGTAGCCCAGGAAGGTAATAATGAAGTAGTAGTTCAACGCGAGTAGATAGAGCGTGTTGGATAGGAGCAGTGAGAACCTGAGATATGTCAGCGTGCCAGCTTGCTCGCATAATAATGGGTGTATTACCAGTGCTGTGTCCCTACTAGAGGCATGCAGATAAACTGCACAACATAGAGAAAGGCCCAAACTGGCACGAAAGCTCTGATAGCCACATCCCAGCAGTAGCCAAACTCCAGTTCTTCCTTACCAGAATCTTCGCCGAGGTTATATAGCCCTCTCCGTCGGCCGGGCAGCAGTGTGTTGTCTGGACCCAGTAATCGGCCTACAAGGAAGAAGAATAGAGTGGCTACAACAACCGAGAGCAGCAGGAAGTGTCCAAAGATGAAAACGAGCATTATGTGGAGGGTCTGTGTGAAACCATCGGCGTATGCGAAACCCCAAGCGAGGGAGGTGAGAGTAAGAAAGAAGGAGAGCAGGTATGTGAAGGATGGGTCGGGTCGGTGGTATGTCTTTGTTGTTTGTTTCTAGAAAGCCATTAGCGATGCTTCGGGGATGTAAGGGCACATATTGTGACATACGTGGTAGAATATCTGGCGAAACACTTTCTTGGGCGCTATTATCAGGCTCATGATCTCCCATGCGGCCATCTCAAAGTCCATCTGGGGGAACTTGAACATGCGCTTGAAGAAGCGTGGCATCTTGATTTCATTGCGCCGTGATGAGGGCATGGAACCAAAGTTCGAGGGCCCGCCCGTCGGCCGTGGGAGGGATATATGTGGGTTCATGCCGGGCTATGTGAAGGTGAAAGGCGCAGTCGAGGGGGCAGCAGTCGGGCGTGTGGGTGCGACGGCAGAGGCGGAGAATTCGGTATAGGACGCAGCGATTACCGTGTCACGGCGAGTCCCAGATTTCCATAGTTGTAGTCGGGAGATGCATGTGGAGGACGTCAATGTGGACAGTGTGGATGTACCTGAGCCATGACATGGGTCGGGTGCCTGGCGGTTGCGCACTAGGGCCGGTGCCAAGGCCAAAGCATGTCAGGCTCCGTCCTCCGCTAGCAGGCCGCATCGCCGACTCGCAACCTTTGCTCACCTCATACACGGCGCGCCCACTCGACCACGCCCGACGGCGCACTATCCCCTCTGTTATCGCGCACGTCTCGAAAATACCCAGATACGACCTTTCGAAGCGGCCGACAGCATCTGAAGAACTTCGAGTCCACCCTTGGCTCGGTCGCGCATCTTGGAGCGCATTGCTTGCACAACTAACCACGCGACAAAGAAATCCATTGCAACCCACCCGACACGTCCACGCACTTTGTAATCCTGTGCCTTCCATTCCTTAGCGACCACTTCTAACCGCCTTGCACAGCTCGCAACCTGCCATGTCGATGGCTGACGAGGCCGAGCTCGCCTTTCTAGAGGCGCAAAAGGACGAAGAGTACGACCCTTCAGCTGGCTACAATATGCCCGACGCGCCTACAGGCCAGGATGAATACGACCCGACCGCGACCTTTTCCGCACACTCAGAACAATCTGGGTCCCCGCCGCCAGAATCGGGCGCCAATTCTCCACCGCCAACTACCGAGGGCGAGCATGGGTCGCAGTCCCAGCCTCCCCAGGCTCCTGCAGAGGCGTCCGCAGCGCTGCAGTCCAAGCGACCGCGCACTGTGGGTGGGTTTGTCGACGAGAGCGAAGACGAGGAAGAGGAGTCCGCTGCGCAGCCGCAAGAGGCGAATGCTACACTGCTGAGAGCTACGGGAGACGCTGAGTCGCCTCAGCCTTCTTTTACAAACACACCAAACAATACACTTCCCAACCCAGATGTACAGTTACATAGTGCACAAGACCTGGCTCCTGCATCTGTTCCTGCTCCTGTCGCTGTCAATGAGCCTGCTCCCTCTGTTGCTTCTCTCCCTAACGGCAGTACGCCTGTCCTAGACGCTACTAAGCCAGCTACCCCCGACGTCTTGAATGTTGCTTCAGCCCGTCCCTCTGTAGCGCCAGCCACTCCGGCGCCTACTTCTGCTTCTCTGCCAAAGGCTCGCCTTCCTCAGGACCGAGTTGGCATTCTCGAAGATCGCATTGCTGAAGATCCGCGTGGTGACATCGAAGCATGGTTGAGTCTAATTGAGGAGCACCGCAGGCGACACAAGCATGATGACGCTCGAGCTGTATTCGAGCGCTTCCTCAAAGTCTTTCCTTCAGCAGTAAGCATGCCTAGCAGTGAGCAATCTAAGCCATTCCACTAACATCACCAGGGCGAGCAATGGGTAGAGTACATTCAGTTTGAAACTGAACTTGACGAGCTGCCAAAAGTCGAGCATCTCTTTGGCCGTTCGATTCCTTCAGCTCAATACATCGGCATATACTCTGCTTACATTGACTTTATCCGACGTCGCTTCAATCTCACCACTGACCAGAACGGGCAGAATCGCCAGACAGTGACCCAAGCCTATGAGTTTGTGCTCAACTCAGTTGGTATCGATGTTCAAGCTGGTAAGCTATGGCTCGATTACATCGAGATGCTCAAGACTGGGCCTGGCGTTCTTGGTGGCAGCAACTGGCAAGATATGCAAAAGATGGACACTTTGCGAAAAGTCTACCAGCGCGCCGTATCAGTTCCTCACAACGCTACTCTAGAAATTTGGCGAGACTATGACAAGTTTGAGATGAGCATGAACAAGGTTTCGGTAAGTATCCTTATGGCCTACCTTTCACTTCCATAAGCTTATCTCGTCACAGGGTCGCAAACAACTACAAGAAACCTCGCCTGCATACATGACCGCTCGCAGTGCTATCAACGTTCTTGACAACAACATCACAAGAGGTGTTATCCGGACTACCTTGCCCAAACTCCCACCTGCTGCCGGTTTCGATGGCTACGAGGAGTACATGAACCAGGTCAAATTGTGGAAAAACTGGATCCAATGGGAGAAGAGTGACCCACTCGAATGCGCAACCGACAACCGCGAACTGTACAACAAGCGTGTTCTGCACCTTTACAAGAACGCCTTGATGGTCCTTCGTTTCTGGCCAGAGCTATGGTACGAGGCAGCTGAATGGTCTTATGAGAACAACCTGCAGGCTGAAGGTGACAAGTTTCTTAATGATGGTATCGATGCAAACCCTGAGAGCTGCTTACTTGCTTTCAAGAAAGCCAGCCAGGTCGAGCAGCGTACCGATTTCGAGGATGGCCAAGCTGGTATCATCGCCAAGGGCAGGGCTGTGCGAGAACCATATCAGAAGCTCCTCGATACCATTTATGACCTTACAGCGCAGGTTAAGAAGCGAGAGGAGCACTCTATTGCGCGAGCAAAGGAGCAGTTTGAAGCCCAGAAGGCTGCCGACGAGGCTGCGCGCGCAATCGCGCAGCAGAACGAGGACGCAGATGATGAAGATGAGGTCGTTGCTGCACGACGATTAAAGGAGAAGGAAGACGCCTTTAATAGTCAGCTCCAAGCCATGTCTGCCGGATACAATGCGCAGACCCAAAACCTCAAGAAGACACTCACATATGCATGGATAGCGCTCATGCGCGCGATGCGTCGTGTTCAGGGCAAGGGAGATCCAAAGGGGGATGTCGGTGGCTTCCGTGGTATCTTCACTGAGGCTCGCAAAAAGGGAAAACTGCTCAGTGAGGCTTACGTAGCTAGCGCACTCATTGAGCATCATTGTTACCAGGAACCAGCTGCACAAAAGATTTTCGAGCGCGGTATGAAGCTGTTTCCAGAAGATGAGCAGTTTGCGTTGGAGTACATCAAGCACTTGATCAAGCTGAATGACTCAACCAGTAAGTCCCCAACCCTATTATTTTTTATTTGTTTTTGTACTAACTGTCACAGACGCCCGTGCCGTCTTTGAAACTGTCGTTGGAAAACTGACAGCCAAGCCGGAAAACGTTCATCGAGCCAAGTCCCTTTTTGCCTTCTTCCATGATTACGAGGCTCAGTTTGGTGAACTGGCTCAAATCACCAAGCTCGAACAGCGCATGGCAACCCTCTTCCCTGAAGACCCCCAGTTGCATCGCTTTTCGCAACGCTTCGCAAGCTCAACCTTCGACCCCATTTCCGTCCGCCACATCATCTCTCCCCGCACACAAATGAGGCCGGTCATGCCGGCATCTATGGCAC